TATTAAATGAATTTGAAGTTGAAAAACTTATATCTATCCGAGCCAAACAAACCTCCACTATCGAAACAAAGATCGAACAAGAAACTAGCAACATCGGAACCTCTAAATGCGAAACTACTCCGGCGACCTCGAACAGAACGTTTTATTTTTGGTGAACTCAACAACAGCTTTTACTGCATTTTCGAGCTGCTTTTCGCAAGGTTTTTCGGGCTGCTTTTTGCTGAGTTTCTGGCTGATTTATGTGGCTTATTGCAGCTGAATTTTGAGTGTTATCTTGTTGCACTTTTAGCAGAAAACAGGGACTGGTTTGGGGTGGTGTGAGGGCTGTTTTGAGCTGGACATTTCAGTAGGTTTCCATGGTGTTTTCAGGTTACTACTATAGCCGGAAATGGAGTTTCAATGATGGTTTTGAGTTGGGATTTCATGGTTGAACTTTCATGGAGGAAAAAAAAGAAGTTTCACATTGACTTTTTTTTTTTTTTGCGAGAAGCTGCTATGTTTAGTGGATCAAAGGCTGGTCGTTGCTGTTTTGTATGGGAGGGGGTTTGCACCTGAAGTTTAGGGGTGTGCTGGTGGGAACGGTGACTGCTGCTTTTCGTTTTTGAGAGGAGGGAGTTTTTTGCGGCTGATGTCCCCCCTCCTTGTGTATAGGTTTTAGATTAATTTTATAGGGTTTTTTTTAGGTTAAAGGGTATGGGCCTAGGGATTATGGGCTTGAGGGATTATGGGCTATATCTAAAAATTAGGCCTAAAAATGGGTTGCTCAAACCCAAGTTTTATTCTCTCACCGCGAACGAGACTAAAATACTACCTTATTTATTACTTAATTTACTTAAATAAAATAACTATTAAAATAAGACTGACCGTTAAAACAAAACTATTTTTGGTATTTTCAAAATATCATACTAAAATGGAAAAATCATTAAGATAACATTCCTAGAATTATTTTTGTATTTTTGAATTTAGTAGACAAATTAAAAGTAACTAGATAAAAATATTAACTAGCTAAATAAGAGAAAATATTTTTTGTAATTTTATTTTTTGTGATAAAATAAAACAAATAGAGTCAAAATTAGTTGAAATAACTATATTAGGTCTAAACTAAATATTTTCGTGCTAAAATATGAAAAATCTTGGGGATGGTCAAAAATCACATGTCTATACATGGTATTTGATTATATGTCTAAGTCACCTTATTGGGAGTATATCGTTGTGTCCTCCTCCTATTTTGGCTGCAGACAGTGAAATCTCTAGGAGCGACTGAGCAAGGAATCTTCAAGAAAAAGGCCAATTTATCTTACTTTGATTACTCTGCGGCCATTATTCAAGACTTAAGGTCACCATTTGGTGTTACTGTCATCCACACACTAAAGCTGCAAGGTATGATTTTCAGTTACATGTTATTGATATATTTTATTTTTGCTCTGCTTGGTAGACTGTTTTTTTTTTTTTGAAATTGCAGAATAGTAAGAGTGCACGAATCATCAGGTGTGGCTTTGTCCACTACTGTTATTGGACCCATTTTTATTCTTATAAATTTAAATAATTCATTTGAGAAAACTTGAGGAGCATATAGATACGGAAAATACTTTAAAAAGTACGAATGATACAAAACTCGCATCAGCCTTATTATTTTTCCTTTGGAATTGGAATTTTACAAGCTTGGACTTCTTTTGATTTCTTATGCATTACTGTTACAATATACTTTTTATGTGAAAAATATTTCTCCCTATTTTTCATTTGAGGTGATGGTGTTTTTCTATGTTTTATTATTAATATGTTCTTCGTTTTGAAGTCAGTGATTCATTTGCGTTAAGCTTCTTCCAGATTGATTTTCCAGGCTAAAATGGCAAGAATTTGCCTCCTCTCACTTAAGCGTTAATGAAAAATATGGGTCCATCAAATTTCTTTTACAAGTATATTTAATTGGGAGGTTCCTTCCATACCATCATATTTAACTTTTGGTTTGTATTTATGTACAATGAAGGGTGGTAATAGCATAAAGAGAAGCTTAGCTAACATAGCTGGTGATCATATGCGATATAGCCGTTCAAAGTCTCCGTTAGACTGAGGTCTTTTTATTCAACAGCTATATAGTAACAGTCTTTCGATTCGGTTACTCAAAGGTAGGGGGTGTTCGTATTTAGATATTTCAATTTTGTATTTTTGGTATTCGATTTTTTAAAATGCTATATCAATATCATGCATAATTAAATTCGGTATGGTTCGATTTTTCTCCTTTCGGTTTCGATTTAGGTTTATTCGATTCGGTAACTTTGAATACTAACTAGTGCTTAGCGTTGTAGGCTATAATATACCTAATTAAAGTACTCAAAAGTACAAAACTAAAAACCTTTGTGGATAAAATTTGTCCAAAATCAGGAAATATCAACCCAGAGAGAGAAAACTATACATAAAGGAATAAATTTGATCATTAGAAATGTCTTGTTACTTTCTTAGAATTAATTGATGAACTTAGAGACTAAATGGAAGTAAAATTTTAGATTTTTTATATTTATGTTATAATTAATAATATGTGTATGTTATGATATAATACATATTTCAGTACGGTATCGGTATTTTGATATTTTATTTTAAAATACCAAATACCATACCTAATACCATTTTTTTAAAAATTTAAATCAAATACCATACCGAATACTATAATAACAAATACCAAATACCAAAATTTTCAGTTTCAGTACGGTAATTTGATATTTACCAAATTATGCAAAACCCTGCTCAAAGGGAGGGTAAACTTAAATACGTAGTTTTTATGGCGAAGGAGTATTCTTCGTCATTTTTCATTTATTTTATGGGTTCTTTGCAGCTAAACTTTATTACTTTAATTTATACAGAATATTTGACAAAATATGTGTGTTGGAGGAATAAAAAAGAAGGGCTTCAAATTGCAATCACAATTACAAAGAGGGCAAATGGTAAGCAGCAGCAACAGCAGCTAAGCCTTCCATTAAGGGGAGGGGGGAGGGCCGAGGGGGGCACAAATAACAATTTTTAAGCTGTTATTTAGGATTTAGCCAGTATTTATTTTATTTTTAAAATTAAATTAAAAATCTTAACTTCAGAATTTGTGTCCTTAAAATTTGAGTTGAAAAATTGAACACATGACACATTAACTAATTTTTAAATAGCAGCTTTCTCGAATGACTACCTGGTGTCATTTCTTCCATTTAAGTGTCAATTATAAAGTGGGCCCAAAATATAGGCTGCTAAGCTTATTAAAAAAAAGAAAAATATCATTTATGTCCATTTATAAGTAGTTTATTAGAAAAATTGGCCAATTCGTAAAATATTACTAATATTAGCCACTTAGTTATTTGTAGCCAAAAAGTCAAATATTTATTTTCTTTTGAGTGAGTGTTATTAGAATAGATAAGATATATCTTAAGAAGCTTGAATCTCAGATTTGGGATGATTTGGTGGACTTTTAAGGTGGTTTAAATTGAAAATTCGAAGTAGGAGATGAACATGAAAAAAAGGCACGTGTATCACACTATGTATCACTTGTGTATCAGATATATATTATATTTGTATCAAATGTGTATCACATGTATATATATCCATGTATACCTGCGTGTGTGATACATGCGTAATACAAGTGTCGCAAAAGAACTTTTTGAACTCGATTTTAACTACGAATTTTGATACTAATTCAGTAAAAATCACCTCCAATCTTCCTCAAAATTTATATATTGACTCGTCTATATGTTTTCAATGAATCTCAACCATACCAATTGAAAAAATTTCTTTTTGTTTAGATTTTTGGAACCTTGTATATTTTTTTTGTATTTCATCACCTTATTTGCTATCTTATTCATGAATTTTCCTTTTCGTCTTACATCTAATGTTACTAATCGCGCTTAAAAATATGGAAGGAGATCTTTGTGTGTGATTCTTTGAGAGAAAGACCCTTTTTTCTTTGGGTTTTTAATTGATATGTGCTTGATTAATTTTGGTAAGTCCACGATTAATGACTATAAATTGGTAAGTTGGGACTTTTTTGGGTCATTTCTGTAAGATTCCCTTAAAAAATTGCACTTTACGGGGATTGATCTTGACAGAATGTTCCCTCTTTTTTTTTTTTTTTTACGGTCTTAGCAAAATATCCCAATTTTTTTTTTTACTTAAACACCATAGTTCTTCAATATTTCAAAGCTTAAAGTTCTTGTTTGTTAATATAAAGTGAAGAGTAATAATCCATTATTGTTAAAAATATTTGAATGTTGATAATTTATGCTTAGACTTTTAGCTCAAACTTTGATTTATTGATTTACTGTAAAAATTTCAAAACTATATTATTGGACCTTAAAAATATTAAAAAATACAAAATAGGCCTTTTTGATTTGGTGTTATTTGAATAAATTGGTGATTATGATTTGTGTGCTGGTAGTTAAAAGCTTCGTTTCAAATTTAAAACCATTTGGAGCAAAATTGGGGTGTTTTGATCGAAATTGAAGTTGTAAATTCAAAGAACACTTTGTTAAAATAACAACAAAAAAAAAAGATGCTAATCGAGTAGACTTTGATGAACAACTTAATAGATAGTTGGAGTAAACATAGCATAAACTCCAGCAATTCGATAGAAAAAATTCTATGAAGAACAAAATTATGTTAATCTGGCATATTTTGTTGAACAATTTAACAAATAAGTAGAGTAAATATAGCTTAGACTCTATCAATCATGTAGGAACATACCGAAGAGCGATAACTGTGTATGGGTCAGGTTATTTTTTAAATATCCCAAATATCGGAGACATTCCGCTAAGGTCAATCCTGAGGCTATTTCTATCAATCGCCCAAGCTTATTTGGTGGGGATAATGATACTGTACAAATAATAGTCGAAAAATATATAAATATACATTTTGCATGTTATGCCTTTTTACGGGTATTATATATAAATAATTTTTGGCGCGGATCCCTATCTGGTCCGCTTCATTTTACCGACCCGAATCATCAAATTAGAAAGGAAAGAGTGGGAAAAAAGAAAAAAGGGAAAGAAGAGAGAGAGCGCTGGTTGAGACTGCCATTTTCCACACACAAAAAAGAAGATACTACAAGTTCAGTGCTTTGCTGAAATTCCCATTTCATTTGCTACTTAATACTTTCCAAAATAAGGTTTTCACTAACTTTTCTTTTTGCGTATTAAGTAGTATTTTCGTTTTAGGGAGACCAAGATATGTTTATTAGAAGAATTTGGAATGCGAATACTGAAACAAACCTAAACTTGATGCGGCAAATGAGAAGAACATTCTCAGTTTCAAGTCAAAGTGCAGTTGATTTGGCTTCAAAAGATGCAGAACTCAGGGTCTTCATTGTTGCCGGCGAGGTTTCTGGTGATACCATTGGTTCCCGTGTCATGAATTCTCTAGAAAAGCTTTCTCCTTTGCCTGTCCGTTTTGCTGGTGTTGGAGGGTAATCTGCCCCCCCCCCCCCCTTTTTTCTAATTATTTGTAATATTTTTAAAATTATAATTGAAACTTGAAATTATTAATATGCTTTCACTAGTTAAAAGTTGCAGCAGCTATAATTAAGTCAAGTTGTCAACTCCTTTAATTATCATTATTCTTTCTGTGGTGTGTATGTTTATCAGGAAGATGATGTGTAAACAAGGGTTGAATACTCTGTTCCCAATAGAGGATATTGCAGTAATGGGCATATGGGAGTTGCTGCCATATCTTAATCAATTTAGAGTATGAATTATTTTGAATTTTCTGCATACTAAAAATCAAGTTATAGTTTTTCCAAGTAAAAATTAATAATTATCCATGCATGAAATTTGGACCTTATTTGAATTTTGAAATGACAGGTTAGGCTGAAACAAACTATAGAAGCAGCTCTTTCTTTTAGGCCTCATGTCGTACTCACTGTAGACTCTAAAGGATTCTCCTTCCGTTTCTTAAAGCATTTGAGGGGTAACGCTCTGTAGCTTTTGTGAGTTCGAAAGAGATTTCTCGTGTTTTCCTTGTGCACTGGGAATAACTTTTTGCAGCTACGTGTGTTCAGCAGGGGATGGTTAGCCCTTTGCACTTCCATTATGTATCACCGTCATTTTGGCCTTGGAAAGGTGGTGAAGCAAGACTACAAGGACTTCTTCAGTTTGTGGATCATGTGTTATGCATTCTTCCGTTTGAGGCAGAAGTTTGTAGATCAAACGGCCTAGCAGCAACCTTTGTTGGTCATCCCACCCTTGAAGATATTTCGGATTTCCAGGTAAATCAGTATTTTGATTTGTGTTTTATTCTACATTTGGTACATGAAAGACTTCGTCTTTCAAATAGTGCCTTCATATACCAGTGTCTGGATTTTTAGCTTTTGAGCATGCAGATATTCTTTCTTTCCAAGAAACAATTTACCAAGTGATGATTTCATTAGTGTGATAAAATTTCTTTCCTGTCAAGAAACTATCCACTAAGAATTTCTGTGCAATTTCCTGGTGGGATCGAGTGATTCCTTGATAATGCTGTCGTCACGTTAAAGTATTGTTTTTAACTTTTGAAATTGCAATTTTTTTGTCTTGTCAATTAACAACCCACCTAATTAATCATTTTGTATACACTGATGAATCCCACCAGGGGAACAAAGAGAAGAGAAATGCTAAGAAATATGAACAAGTGGGGAATAAAGTTATTCTACCAATGCAACAGTGAAATTATAATTTTATATAGTGTAATGGCGTAATGTTGTCTAATATTCAATTTTAGGTGAAGGATGCCACAGAAAGAAGATACAGAATTCAAGGAAATGCTGAAGCATTTCTAACTGATCATGGAATAGGTATGTTAACTTGTACTAATATATTGTGAGAAAGTATATGATGCATCATAATAGATTATATATGTGCATAGTATAGCCAAGTTTCATACCCGTGATGAAAGTACTATGGTGTGAAAAAATTTCAGTTTGTATGAACAATATATATTTTCTATACCATTTCAAAAAGAAAATATTATTTCTATGCTTTTGCTGTAATTTGTCGGTTATCTAATGATGCAAGATCGTGTTCTCTGTATTTACTTCCAATCTGTCAAAATCTCTGTGTCTCCTTCTCAGTGGCTTACTGAAAAGAAGAGAGGATATTATTACCTTTTTATCGGTTGACTGTGCTATTCTATCAATTTTGTTTCTCCTTGCCAACTTTCTAATTGTGTTGTTAGCTTAATTTGAAGGATCCCCAGTCATTTCCTTGCTTCCTGGAAGTAGATTACAGGAGGTTACTCGAATGTTCCCCATATTCTCAAGCACTTTGGAACATTTGAAAGGTTCATTTCCGGACTTGGTAACAGCAGTTCATGTGGCACCTAATCAACATGTGGAAGACTACATTGATAAAGCTGTTTGTAAGTGGCCATCATCTGTTGTATTGGTTCCTGGAGGATCACACCAGATTAAATACAATTCATTTAGTGTAAGGCCTTGACTCTTGTATCTTTACATTTTGAAGTGATGTAGCTTGGACTAGAATTATGCTTCCTATTCCGGCTGTGAACTTTTGGGGAATAGGAAAAGGTTTCAATGCTCATTATTCTGGAAGAATTAACTGTTTGGGACATACTGTGGTCGAAGTGACTCAATGAATTGGAAAAAGAGTGTAACTGGAAATGGAGCTAGTCCCTTGACGGTATTTTTAAGGTACAGACCTCGATGAACGTGCCTTGCAATGGATAATTAGCATCTATGAAGGGGAGCCTTGGAGCGATGATAAAGTTGTCTCCGTGTGTCCTATAGTTCACGGGTTCAAGGCGTGGAAGCAGCCACTAATGCTTGCATTAGGGTAAGCTGACTACATCACACCCCTTAGGGTGCGGTGCGGCCCTTCCCGGACACTGCGTGAATGCGAGATGTTTTGTGCACCGGGCTTCCCTTTTTTATCTTTTATTTGTATTTAATTGTTCCTCATAATGTTGGGAGTATGATACATTGTGAGTAGGAAAGAGCCAGACACTTGGTCTGGATCTTGTGGATCTCATTTCCAAGGATGGAAACCTAGTCGTTGCTACTAGAGGTTGCCAATTGGCTACCATGTTTTCTACTTCTAGTTTTGTTCTTGATAATAGATGGTATATCCTTTAAGCTCCTGGCAGATTTGCTGAAGTTATTTATTAATCAAGAACAAGTAAATGGTACTTTATGCTTGTTACGAGTTTCTTTCAAATTGTTCATTTTTTTTTCCAGTTATTCAAGACTTTTTATGTGGATTTGATACTAGGCAAGCTATAGGTATGTTTTTAAGTGCCAGCAGTAACTCCAAGATCTGTTTCAGAAAATCTTTGTTTTATCCAAAAGACTCTTCCTAAATATAGTTATTAGTATTTGCATTTTATGTGAATTGTGTGCTTTGCACTTTGTCACTATAATTAGTTTTTCCTTTTTATCCAATTTTTTATCACAAAGTGAAACTTTAATGTATTTTTTTTTAAAATTATTGAGGGGGATATACATGGCCTATGGCCCACAATTTTTCTGCTGTTAAATCATCTTTTGCGTAAAGAAGTAACATACCTATGAATGACTAAATCAATGTGGAGATAATTCTCAGTTCTTTACTTTTCTGGTTCATGATTCATGAATATATTAAGTTGCCTCATGTTTCAAGGTGGATGTGGTAACATGAACTGTTCTTCTGCAGGCAAGCAGTGTAGCACTATGTACTTCTGGTACAGTTGCGATGGAAGTGCAGCTTGCAAGACTGCCATGTGTTGTTGCGTATCGAGCCCATCTCCTGACAGAATTAGTTATACGATACAAAGCTATTATACCATACATCTCTCTTCCTAATATTCTTTTGGATTCAGCTATAATCCCTGAAGCTCTATTTCATGATTGCACTCCTTCAAAATTGGCATCATTACTCAAGTAAGCTTCGACTAAATGATCCTTGTCCCTTGTAGTTTTGTTGTTTTCTGGTTGTCAAAAGTAAACCAAACCAATCAAGAAAAAAGAACAACAGAGAGCAGCATTTGTCTGCCTCTGTTTGCGTAAGAGTACATGCAGTAAATCTTTAAAAACGGCTTAAATATGCCTTGGGAATCTTAAAATCACAGGGATTTAATACTTGATGACAACCTTCGAGAAAAACAAATTAATGCTGCCGAAGAGGTTATTGAGCTGCTAAGACCTCCAAAGATGAACATTAGTTGCTCAACCTAGGGGGAGATGCGCGTTCCACTTTCTGATTGTACACCAAGTATGGTCGCAGCATATGCAATATTGTATTCTCGGAATAAGCTGGAATAATGTGATTCGTGAAAATTCAAGCAGTTGCTGTGAGCAAAGTTGAGATAAGATGCAGCTAGAGAGTTTTTAAGAAAATCTGTTTGGAAGTCAGCAACTGTATAGCAGTTGGATAATTTCTATTCATTTTGTTAGTTGATTTCCATATTTACTTTCACTTACATAGAGCTTCAACCTATGAGAAGCTCAAGTTATATCTGCAAGCTGTGTAATATAGTTAATGAAAATTTTTCCCCTCTCGTGGAAATCGTCCTTCTTTCTCTTCCTCTCTCAGATTAAGGATTGTAACAGCTGTGTTGCATTGGATTCATGAAGTGAGAAGTCAAAAGGAGATCAGAAATATTTCTAGGAGATTTATCCGAAGTATGAGCGGCTCTTTGTGGAGGGCACGAAAAGAGGTAGAGGGCGGCTTAAGAAGTATTGAGGAGAGGTGATCTGACTGGATATGACGAGGCTTCATATTTCCGAGGATATGATACTTGATAGGAAGATGTGGAGGTCGAGTATTAGAGTTCTAGGTTAGAAGTTAGTTGATTCTTGCCTTACTTCGTACCTTTGTGAGACTAGGCTAGTAGGGTTTTTGTCTAAGACAGATAGTGACAACGTTGTGTCTTACTATTTCGCTTTTCAGTGCAGGATCTATTTACTAGCTATCGTTTTTGCTTTGCTTTGCATCTTTCTTCCGGATTTCATGTTGTTCCTATTTTTCTATGATTTCAATGGTGATACTAATATTGTCTTTTTTTTTTTTTTTTTTTTTTTTTTTTTTTTCTTGAGCCGAGGGTCTTTCGAAAACAACCTCTCTATCCCTTCGGGATAGTGGTAAGGTCTGCGTACACACTACCCTTCCCAAACCCCACTAGTGGAATTTTACTGAGTTGTTGTTGTTGTCGTCTGCAAGTATCCTATGATCATAAGCTATCAATCTAGGATTTGAACCAAATGGGGTTCTAGTGGTTGAACTATTCAAATATATTTGTTAAGTGTATGCGTGGTGAATTGGTGATACATGCTCTTTACCTGAGTGCTTTACTAATTCTTGGTGATGTAAACTAGTCTCCGTCTCTAGTGCTTTATAAAAAAATAAAACTATATTTATACCATGAACTTGTTGCTGCCCTTCCTTTTACCTTTTCCTAAGCCGATGGTCTTTCGGAAACAGCTTTTCTGCCTTTTTGAAGCTTGAGGTAAGGTCTACGTACATACTATCCTCCTAGACTCCTTGTGGGAATTACACTGGGTCTGTTGTTGTTGTTGTTGTCGTCGTATACCGTGAACTTGCTCATCTTTTTTTGTCCCAAAAATCACCGTTAGATCTTTAGAGTACAAATGACAATGTACTAATTTTTCATCACTATTCGCCATAATTATATATTTGATTATTTCTATATTTTTCGAATTATGAATTGAGAATAGAGGTCCTTTGGAGATGCGAGGTCCGATCGACTATATCTGGAATCTAGACAGGGGAATTGTATTTCCATGTCTGAGTAAAATTCTATTTGTTCCATCGAGAACTATCGAGGAAATCTCTCACATTCTGTTATGAATAAAAATAGTCAATGTGCCATGATGTGGGATCCGGGTTGATGGGCCCAAGTACTGTAAACAATTAAGTAATTTTTACATTTTATAGCAAAGGTTGATACCTTATTTCTTTTAAATAAATACCCTTTTAAAAAATTATATTCTAGCTACTTTTTGATTTTTATAGCCTATCTATTTATGGTTACCTCCTACCCTTAAGCCATAAAATACTCTTTGTATTATTTTTCTCTGCATTCTTTCAGAATTTTCTCCACTCTCTCTCTCTCAACGCCGTTCTTTCTCCATGAATACAACCACTATTTGCGAAAACTTCTGGATAGGTATCCTACATCTGAACCGAATTCTTTCTGGTTAAAGAATCTCTTTCTAGTTGCTCTGGAACAATTAGGAGATTCTCTAGAAGAAATACGGGGTTCTGCTTCTGGCGGCAACATGCTTGGTCCCGCTTATGGGGTCAAATCAATACGTTCTAAGAAGAAAGATTGGAATATCAATCTCATCGAGATCATCGATCTCATACCAAATCCCATCAATCGAATCACTTTTTCGAGAAATACGAGACATCTAAGTCATACAAGTAAAGAGATCTATTCATTGATAAGAAAAAGAAAAAACGTGAACGGGGATTGGATTGATGATAAAATAGAATCCTGGGTCGCGAACAGTGATTCGATTGATGATGANCCACTGATTCATCTCCATTGTCTCGCGAAATTTTCATTGTCAGTGGGTTGGGGCTTTGAATCAATGTCGAAATCAAGCACTAGAGAGAAAGAGACACCCCATTATGATGGCCGTTGCTTTGCAATAAAAATCGACCTCCATAAACTCCTCCGTTTCCTCTCCTTCAAGTATCGAAATTACGGTTTTCGTCTCAAATTCCTGGATGATTTGGTTATCCAATTGTTTGACAGTTTCAAGTTTTTGGATAATTTGGGTGTCCAATTTGATGGGTTTAGATTTGGGGATATGGGTTTCAGTTGAAATTAAAAACCCATTTGGCTTGAAAGTGAAGAAGATAAGATCATCGGAGGTAATACCAAAGGATTGAAGCGTCTCTTCAGAGGGTGAAACGTCGTCCTTTCCGTTGAGGGAAAGATGAATGGAATTCGATGAAGATGAAGATGGAAGAGTTCCGAGTCAGAATCGCGGTCCTCTTGACGAGACGACATTAGGGTTGTTCTTGAACAAAGACGACGGAGTTTGGGGCTGTGCAACTTGAAGAGTCTGTTACCTTTTTTTCCATTGTATTTCAATATATCTCGCTGTATTCTATGTATTTCGTCGTATTCATTGTCTTTTTTCCCATTGTATTTCAATGTATCCCGCTATATTCCATTATTTCATTGTATTCACTGTCTTACTATATTCCATGAATATATTCATATGTTTTTTTAATTAATATTGTAAGCATGTGATTTTTGCTTCACGGGAATTACTCCAAAAGAAAAAGAAAATCAAAAATATATGCGTAAGTATTTTTGAGTGATTTTTATTTTGATGTTAAAATTGTGTATTAATTACTATAGGTGATAACCAATATGTGTGTAATTGTATTTCTATTTTTTTTTTTTGCAATTTATTTGGGAGTTTTAGTTTGATTTTTGTTAATTGAAGAAAAGAAAATCAGATTGGGCCCCAAAATGAGGCCCAAAATCAAAACAAAGATCCAGTCCAAACCAGGCCTGCCCAGGCACGACCCCAAAACGACGCCGTATGGGGCATATGATCTGAGCCGTCCGTCCAGGCCAATCCAACGGCCCAGGACCCCTTTCAGCAACCCGTGTCCAAAACCCGACCCAGTAACCGATTTGAACCGACCCCCAACCAAGGCCAAACGGTGTCGTTCTGTATTAAGTGAAAGATCCTGGCCATCAATCTCGATTCATCCAACGGCCAGGATCTAATTGCCCATTACATATATAAGCCTAACCTATTACCCAGCCCCCCTATCCGAATACCCCCCTTCCATCGTCCCCAAACACGAACCCAGACCTCCCATTCCAAACCCTAGCCGCCCCTGTGCACCTTCACCATAAAGCCGGCGGCATGGACGCCGGTGAACATCCCTGATGCACCTCAACCCCCTGAATCCGAATCCACCAACCATGTACCTCGAATCACACTCCATCATCTCGAATCTTGATTTGAAGATTCGAGACTAAACCTCGATCTACACCAACCTACCCCAAATTCACACTAGACAACCCCCTGACCTCCCCCATGACCAAACCATGCTTGGTTTGGTCCGAATCTAACCAGGGAAACCCAAATCCCTCTAGGAACCCTAGGAGTCCTCATGTCCGATCTGTGTCAGATGAACCAGATGATTAGGGTCTAATGGACCTTAGTCGAAGTGTTTTCGTTAGAGAACACTTCGATTAAAGTCCATTCAACCCCAAGAAAGGTCGATTTCAAATCCGAGCTGGGGTTTTCTGATTTTTCAAGGTTTTAAGGTAATTTTTGTTTTCTTTATCAGTTTATTTTGTCTGTTGTAATTAAATGTTTGTTCATATATCCAAAAGTTTTGTTTAATTTATGTTATTAAATTTTTGTTGACTGTTGTTGTCCACCTTGCCCGGACCTCTGTAGTGGCCAAGTTCTTTCCATTTACTGATCATGTGTATGTGTGTAAGCTGTACAATTGATTGAACTTAAGTTTGATTGATTAATTAATTCCCCAATACAACTTTTGCTTAGTCAGTACAATTTGAATCGCATGATAATACTGTTGGATTTCTGATCATTGGCTATTGGTTGTATATGTTATAACTAGTATAGTCGATTCGATTCATGTCGTCGATCAGTTTCAACTGTTTGAATANTGGACGCCGGTGACCACCCCCTTAACACCCCTGATGCACCTCAACCCCCTGAATCTGAATCCACCAACCATGTACCTCGAATCACACTCCATCATCTCGAATCTTGATTTGAAGATTCGAGACTAAACCTCGATCTACACCAAATCAACCCAAACTCACACTGGACAACCCCCTGACCTCCCTCGTGACCAAACCAAG